TAAAGCTTATTCAAGCATGATGGACCAAGTGAGACTAATGGTAAGCAGCAGGCGCAGAGCCATTTCGTTGGTTGCGCCTCGAAAGTGCACGAGAAGGGCGCTTAGGGCCTCGTCACTTGGCCGCTAGTGACTGATGCTGCTTTTTCGCAAAGCAACGGCATATACGGTGGGGTGTCTGTGACTGCGCATCGTTTAGGCCGATGTCAGACTTTGCGAATCGCGCGATTCGCTAGCGTCTGCGGTCGCGTCGCGGCCAGTGAATCACTCAATTGGCTGGTACCGCAACGCGACCGCGGACGCTAGCGAATCGCGCGAATCGCTAGTAGCGAATCGCGCGATTCGCAAAGTCTGACATCGGCCTTATAGTCTCTCGTCTCCTGCCTCTTCCCGACGCTGAGTTTCGCTTCTGTCGGCCCAAGATTCCAGTTCCGGAGTTTCCATTTACTCTCACTTTCTTCTTCACTATCGGTCCCCATTGCACCTATACACCTTCGAGTGAGGCGACGACATTTTTGATCCATGACGGTGCACTCCAAGCTGTGACCTCAACGATGAAAGGAGGTGAACATTTGGCTGATTAGACTATTATATTGAGAATCGGCAAGTGTTTTCATCAAGCACTGCACTTATAAACTCGCGTATTGTTACAACTTGCTATTTCACAACACATCTGTCCCAGAATGACTTAGAATGCACTTTTGTGCAATCGCTATCTACCGCACTTTTGTGACTTCTTGTCCAATTCCACTTTTACACTGACGACTGCCGCAACTTTTTTCGGGCTTTCACAAACTCACAAAATCGCTTGAACGATCTGAGTATACTCTGCTTCCGAAAGCCAGATGCGTGACGAGTGCAGACCACACACCACAAGTGTCGACGCCCTCCACTACTAGGGGTTCATAGTGATAGCTGATGGTTTACGGACTACTTGATTTTTCCTCAATGGTCCTGCCGCGATGGCTAGAGCACAGACGATTAGAGAACGGGTGAATGCCCTAGGACTAAGCCTTGGAGAGGAGAGGGACCCGCGAGAGAGCGCAGAGGCGGTTTAAAGGGCTGAGTTCAAGTAGTCCGTCGACCCATTGGCAGAAAACATTCACATTTTGTGAGAGCCGTCGTCACTTATGGTGTGTGATTTGCACTCGACGCGCATCTGGTTTTCGGAAGCAAAGCGTATCTTCGAACTTTTTGTATGAATTGCTCAAGATGATGGACAGAATCAAGTCTAATGGAGCTGGAAGATCTAGAAGACAGCTATGGAAGCGTAATAACAATTTTTATAGTAAAAGTTATTCTAGGTTATTCTATTCCGGTGAAGAATGAACAGCAGCTTTTACTTCTTCAATTCCACCTATCTCATTTCAGATTTTGATGACGATGAGTTCCTTGGAGCGGGCGTCTAGAGTAAATGGTCCGCCAGCTTGACAACGCGACGATTGTAGCGAAGGTAGCGGAATTTCATTGAAAGAGTGCGTGTGACCTATAGGTTCCCATGAAGCGAAACAATTCATTCTTAATAAACGGAACTTTGTGCATGTGCGATTTGGTCGGTGGTGTGTGGGTGCGTGATGTTCGTTCTGATCGTCCCGACCAAAGCTGCTCACAAACAGGAGAGTTACGAGGCACTTCGAGATGTTACATAGCGGCTTATAACCATCGAGCAATCAGTTACTCTTTCGTGGTGCTGCTGTGTGCAGACGGATAAGCGGAGAGGGTGAAGGGGTGGAGGAGGGGTAGAGGTGGCCAGAAGGGGGGCTGGAAAGGGAGGGGAAGAAAGTGAGGGAGAAATGCGCTGTATGAGCAGAGAGAAAGTAAGATAGGGAGGGGGATGTGAAAGGGAGGGAGACTGAGAGAGAACGACCGTTTTAGGAATGAGGCTATATATGTTGATGTTTATTCTAACCTGAATGTGGGTGTTGTGAATAACACCCACAAATGGCACGAACCCGAACGAACCTTACCAGGAAGGTCTTTCAGGGCGTGACGAGCTTTTTGAAAACGGTCTTTTGCATGATATAGGGGCAGATGCGGGGACCACAGAACCATGTTTAATTTTTCCTGAACGGCCCTCTGAATACCAGAAAAGGAGGTCCCTAGTTCGATCCCTCGTTGGTAACGTGTAATTTTTGCATTCGAAGTTATATTTAAATGGAAAAAAAAAAAAAAAAAAAAAAAAAAAAAAAAAAAAAAAAAAAAAAAAAAAAAAAAAAAAAAAAAAAAAAAAAAAAAAAAAAAAAAAAAAAAAAAAAAAAAAAAAAAAAAAAAAAAAAAAAAAAAGAGTTCTATTTTCTGGTTGGTTTAACTCCATTTTAACTCCATTTCGCGCGAATTTTGGCACGTCAACTCGAAATGCAAAAATTTGTTACCACGAGGAATCGAACTAGGGACCTCCTTTTCTGGTATTCAGAGGGCCGTTCAGGAAAAATTGAACATGGTTCTGTGGTTCCCGCATCTGCCCCTATATCATGCAAAAGACCGTTTTCAAAAAGCTTGTCACGCCCTGAAAGACCTTCCTGGGTTAGTCTATTCTACATTGGCGCTGTGAGGACAGCCGGAGGCGGCGAGCAAGGGAGAGGGAAGAGGTGTGAAAGCAGAACGGGGGGGGGGGGGGGACAAAAAAGGGTTGCGTCATAGGACCTAGCATACCTCTGTGTTTCTACCTGCCAGACAGTTAGAGCAGCGCTACTACCCTCCACTGATGAAGCACTCTTTCCCCTGAGGGGTCGCGCTGCTCTAACTGTCTGGCAGGTAGAAACACAGAGGTATGCGAGGTCCTATGACGCAACCCTTTTTTGTCCCCCCAGAGGATTGAGAGGATTGAATCAGAGGAGGGGGATATATCCCCCTGGGGGAAGGATTGAATACCGCCTGGGTGTACCGTACCGAGGACACCATTCTTTTGGGCAGGTGATGCGATGATCAGCGGTCTGACGAGTGTCTCATATCGCTAGAGGTCAATCGATTGCTTGTCAAATCACAGTCCAAAACAGTGATGGAAACGGATGATATTTCGTTTGCAATGACAGTGAAATGTGATGTGTGACGCCAGCCTGAAAGCGAGAAAAAACAGCAGGCAGGCGGAATAAAATTTAGACGGATAGCAGATCGAATTGCCGTGATTTGTAGAACGAGCTTCAGTGTTGTTAATCGGGGACGTGCTGACATCAGGCTTAGGCACCTCGGGCCTTGTCAAAGTCATTCGGCGAAATTGTGAACTGTGCTCGCCGCAGTGGAGTGCTGCCTGTTTCCGGAAGGCTTCAATTCCAGGCTGATTTAGTCTTTGCCCTCAATAATCATTAGTAATTGATACCTTACACAGTGAGTGGCGGAAGACGCAGGCAGCGAGGGGAGGGAAAGTGCGAACGAGCGGTCGTTACGAGAAGATGCACAGCTTTTGCTTGCTGTGAACGAGTAAAAGTGGTAGTCGTCAAGGCAAGGCTTTAACGCTCCTATCGTGTCCTTCTGGCTCGCGAGAATACCACAATTTCTTTACTAGGAAACCCTACTAAGCCATACATGGAGAGAATCGCTCCAACAATAAGGATCTAGTCGCGACCCGCTCTTCTAAGAATATTTGTTGTAGACTTCTTTTTTCTACTATCAGCTACTATTCTCTTATCCTCTTCAGATCATCGAGGAAGCCGACCTAGACGGGGACGATCGCATCAATTACGCCGAATTCGAGCACGTCGTCTCACGGTCACCGGACTTCATTAGAACGTTCCATATAAGAATATGAAATGATACTAGCTTCAACGATGTAAATAATTTGAGCCTTACTACAGCTGTAACTTTACAAAGGTCACCTTCATCATTTCGTAAAGCTACGAATCTTCCTCCGTCTGCACTGTCAAACAAGTATAGAATGTATATTGTTTCAAAAAAGAATAACAAAATCACAAATACACATTTTAACAATTTCAAAACTAGATCTAGATCACCCACGGACATGTGGCTGTAGGATAACCCCGTCAACGATATTACCGGTAAGCAGTGAACATCATTTAGATCTCATTCGGATTTATTCGTACTAGTTTGCTTGGACTGTCTCTTCCCTATACTTTCATATAAAGTGAGGGCTTGCGCTACCATCGAACTTGGCTCGCTCAAACTTGCTGGTAAAATGACGGTGTTCGTCTCCTTCGCGAGGTGTTGGAATGCTTCAACATACTGTTGCGCCACCGATAGGCTGGCAGCTCCTTCACCACCCTAAAATCAGTCACTATTATTCAATTCGGCATTTATTGATCGAGGGAGGAAAAAAAGGAATAAAGAGCAAAAACAAAAAAAACACATACACACAACCTGAATTGCTTCTAGGGTGTGGTTCGCTAGGACAGAAAGCGACTTTTCCGCTATTCGCAGCGCGAAACTTTTTTTTGCTGGAGTCTCAGACCACTCTTTATCAGTGGTGGACCTGAATAGCGCAACGAAAAAAGTTTCGCGCTGCGAAAAGCGAAAAAGTCACTTTCTGTCCTAGCGAAGAACACCCCGGAAGCCATTCGGGTTAAGTGCTTTTTTTCTCGTTTAATAAAGTTTGATGTCTTAAGAGGTAAAAGAGGTTCTTGAAAGAGTGGGCGCTGCGAAGTGTAGGCCACGCCAGCCCTCCAAATACGCCACATCCACTGTTAGTGAACACGGTTGATTTCTACTCCAACAGATGTCATGAGGAACTGTTCTACGAGCAGGGAAAACACCCAATGAGGCTGCCACCGTCACATCGGCAGCCGACCTCCTTCGTCACAGCACATTGCCAAACGAAAAGCGCTATCTCCACGCCAAAAT